CTTATGTGCTTTTTGGGGGCCCTACAGTCTTCCTGCTGCATTGCAACAGGCGTCGTTGTGGAGGACTTGCCCTTCAACCTGCGCCTCTGGGCAGCTCCGGGTTCCTGTAAGGGCTCCTTTAATGTTACGTTTAAGGGTTTAGGGTTTAGAGGTTCAGGGATCAGTGTTTAGAGGCTTAAGGTTTCAGGGTTTAGGGTTTAAGGTTTTAGGGTTCTGGCGTTACGGTGTTCTGCACGTTTAAAAAGTTGTGTCTAGGGTTTTGAAAGGCTTTAAGAGTGCGGCAACCAAGGTTTTACAGCATTTCACGGCCTCTTCGCCACCCGACCTGTAAGTAGCATGTCAGGCACTGTGACTGCCTGTGTCATATGTGTGTTTGTGCGGGAGTAATTCCATAAGTTCCTGCCAGCCATGACAGCAACAGCACAGCAGAGTGTTACAGACTTTGATTCCCAAACCCTATTTATTCTACCCAAGCCGACCATCCAAAGCCTGAACTGCTGACCCCAACCACTAAAACCAAGCACTCTAATTATGAGGCTGGAAGAACTAGTAACAGTATCCCCTGAAGGTCCTTATGCTAAAACTGCTAAATGTAGCATAACATAGCCCAAAGCCTTATTGGCCCTATTCCATATGTCAGGCCCGGCACTAAACTCGTTAAACCACGCCTAGATCAAAGGAGCCCTGAAAGGGAACCCTCCTCCGTTCTTTTGTTCAGCCCCAATCACAATCTGAGGCTCCTCGGTGGCTGCTCACTTGGGAGGCGGGGAAGCTTAAACTGTAAGCCCTAGCCCTTTTGAAGGGTTCCTTTTAAGGCTTCATGGGTTTCTCTTCAAAGGGTTCTTTGAAGGGCTGTGTCGGGGTTTTACCAGTGCGAATAAGCAATGAAAAAGTAGCTTCCTCTTTCATGTGAGGTTTGTTGCCTCAAAATCTCGAAGGAGTCAACTATTAGTTAGGGTTCACTGCTTTTTGAACCTGCCCATTACTACACCCTGACACATTTTTGGGAATCCCGGACACAACCCTTATGAAGCCCTTCAAAGACATGCATCCGGATTCCGGCCATCCTCAGAAACTTCAATGTCACAAAAAACCCTGAACCCTAAACCCTAAACCCTAAACCCTAAACCCTAAACCCTAAACCCTACCCTGCACCCTAAAGACCTTGAACCTGAAACCTCCAACCCAACCCTGCACCCTAAACCATACCCTAAACCCTAAACCCTACACCCTAAACCCTAAACCCTACACCCTAAACCCTACACCGTCAGCCCTAAACCGCAGCAGGAAAGGGCCGAATTACGAGCACCCCTGGCTGCAGCATACATCCAGCACGATTTAGTTCGAGTGCAGACTGCTTGGGGTTCGGGTTAGGGTTTAGGGTTTAAGGTTTAGGGTTTAGGGTTCAGGGTTCAGGGTTCAGGCTTCAATTTAGGGTGCAGGGTTTAGGGTTTAGGGTTCAGGCATACCCGTGGTCTAGTAGGGTTTCTTAAGATTTTGATAGGGGGCCCGTAAGAACGGACCCAGTGTGGAGTTGTTTGGGCACAGGGTTTAGCGCTTCTTCGATGTAGAGTCTAAGTTTTAAAGCGTATTGCTTGTTGCGCAGGGACCTCTGAACCCAGCAAATCAGAAGTAGCAGTAACAATACTGTTATGAACATGGCAAATACCAACTAATTATGGCTTTTGAGGACAATGGCGTTGGCAGCCGTTTCTCTGGGAGCATTTCCTTCAGACTCGAATATATTTCGACTGAAGAGTACGCTATTCTTTCACGTATGGAGTTCAGATACTTCACAAAGGGTTCCAGCGAATCAATGGTACCAGAATACTACTTTCATGATTGCTACAAATACTAAGGATCGCTTGAAGTAGTCATGACAATAACAATACTAGCACCAACAGAAACACTAAGACTGACACTAACAATAACGTTAAGAAGAACAATCACAAAACAACAACAATTAATTGGAATCATCCTCATCATCATCACCACCATTATCACCAGCATCATCATCGTCATCATCATCGTCATCATCGCTTTCATCATCGCCACCATCATCGTCACCATCATCCTCATCATCATCATCATCATCACCGTACAAAATACAAAAGTAGTAGTGCTAATTAGTCTACACTACGTCTGCGTAATTTGACTCATCTCCAAGAGCAGCATAAAGGCAGAAAGCTTCTGTGGCAAGCCCCCTTATCAGAGCCCTCGGCTAAGCCCCCGTAGATTTTACGATTCTTCTCCGCTCGACACATGTAGATTCTTCAGAAGACATGGGGACCTTATGCTAAGGCCCCGCCAAGTATTAAAGGACCCCCAGTGTCTGAATCCTAAACCCTAAACCCTAAACCCTAAACCCTAAACAAGTGAGGTGTGGACTACAATCCTCAGAGTGATCCCAACCGCATCACGATCAGGCCCACTCGACCAGGATTTGAGGGGGTGTGTGGAGGATCATGTTACTTAGCAAGTAAGGTTATAAGTTATAAGTCCCCTAATTGGGGTTATAATAGGTACCTTAATTATAACCCTACTTCCTAAGTCCCATGATCCCCTAAACCCTAAACCCTAAACCCTACTTATAACCCTACTTACTAAGTCCCATGATCCTTTGGAGTAGGGCTTTATCCGAAGACCTACCTGCGGCTCAGGGTTCGGAGTTTAAGGTTTGTGGTGCAGGGTGCTGGGTTCACAGCAGGGTTTAGGGTTTAGGGTTCACCCTAAACCCCAAACCCCTAAACCCTAAACCGTCTTAGTTTAGGGTTTAGTTCAGAGTAAACCCTAAACCCTAAACCCTAAACCCTAAACCCTAAATCCAATAGAACTCGGAGGGTTTGAGGTCGCTGATGATGGCCAGGACTCTCGACCCAAAAAGACCTGCCCATAGTCTCCATTGTAGTTCCCTTTTTGGTTTAACC